CCACAACGGCGTGGGGGAAAGGAGGCAGAAATCCCAGGAAGTTTTATTCCCTACAAATAAAGAGGCTGTAGTTCAGCTTGTTGGCTCTAGCAGGCCTGCAGCGCGCGTCGGTACCTATATTCAGATAGGTTATAAAGACGGTGCGGGTTTGATTTCCAGTCGATCTGATGACATGCGTACAATCAAGAGAAATGACGTCGTGTTTCTCAGCCTAGTAGCTTAGTGAAACGAATTGCGTTTTCCCTAGTGGAAATTCGTACATAAAATGAAGTTTTACTAAATTGCTTTTCAGGAAATGTTGGTTTCTCTCTGCTTTTGCCAAAGATCCAGCCAGTGAGCCAGCTCGCTCCTTGGGAAGAGGAGTGGGAGCAAGCTTCAGGAAGACGTAGAGTTTTCATTCCAGGAGTTTCGATTCTCTAGTTGCAAAATGGGCAAGCGGGAGCCGAGTGCTGTGGCCGTACAGGTGGCGGTGGTGGTATTTTTACATTTTGGCGAGACCCAGTGCTGTTTGACACTTGCATTCGGTCAGTATTCACCTTCCAGCTGCTCCAGCTTGCATGTAACTTGGCAGTTAAGAGACGAAAACATCTCTTGTAAAAATGTCTCTGAAAAGTCATATTTCAGCTGTGCTGGGGAAGTGAGGGTAGAGCCACAGCTTATTGCAATTTGCCCGTGAACTTCTAAACCGTTTTCTGCTGCTCCAGATAGGGCAGCAGTGCTCTTCTCTCCACCACCACTGAAATGTCACCGTTGCTCTGAACTGCAGCCCTACTTTTAAATTAAGTAATACTCCGGTGGGAAAAGTTACTGTTTTGCTGGCGAGCTGCTAGAGCTGATTCCACCAGTGCAAGAGCCTGCAGAGGTAAATTCAGTCACAAACGGGAGGCAGGCGGGGTTCGTGCGACTAAAGGGATAAAAAGATGCAAATAAGTGAAAAACAGGCTGGGCCCTTCAAGGGATTTAGGCCTTTATTTCACGCACTGTGAATACTTTGTCTGTGAGACTGCGTTGGAGCCTGGCCGGCAGTTCTAGGCTAGTGTCTAACTTCCCCCAGCGTGGCGTTAAGAGGCAGGCCTTAAGAATGTAAGCGATGAATAAACTTAAAGAGTTCAGAGGCTTTTCCCAATTCGCATCTGCTGCTAAATTTTAGTAGAACAGCCCTGGCACCGCGCCTTTTTTTTTTTTTTTTTTGTTAGTTTTAACTAAGGCAAGGTGACAAAGTCAGCAGAGGGCCCAAGGGTCCTAAGCGTGACTTCCCTTCAGCCCAAAGCGCAGCCTCACGCAGCCGCCCCTAGCACCGCTTCTAGCAGGGCAGTTTCCTTCAGGTCTCCTCCCCTTCCCCAGGGAATACGGCCCCTGTTCTCCCCGCTCACGGCCAGCAGCTGGGAAAGCTGTTGCACAGGCAAACCCGAGCTTCTGTCCAGGGTTAAGCGTTTTCGGAAGCTCAGGCGCCTTTGCTGACACCCGAAGCTGAACTGGAAGGAGAAAGTTCCTTCCGCTGACCTCGCGTCAGCCTCACGGGAGTACCTGGGAGGGTTTTCCCTGGGCAGGGAAGGAACCTTTGGAATAGTTGGCGCTGACAAAGAAACATCTGACCGGGATGGCTCTGGGTTTTGGGAGCGGCCGTAAATCAACAGCAGCTCGGTGGTGCGGTTAACACTGCCAATGCGGGACCAGATTCCCAGTGCCACCATGTACAAATCTGGAGCTTTTTCTCATTCCTTTTCCCGTTTTGCATTTCTGTTGTGTGGTGGGTTTGGTTTTTTTTTTTTAATGTATATTTCCACAGAAACTTTTCTCAGCTGAAGCTGTGAGAACAAACTTTCTGAAAGATTGCGGTAGCGTCAAGGTAAGCACAATCACGCCTGGTCAGGGCCCGTTCTAAGGCTTAGGGGTTGGCAAAGCAATAACGATACCCAAACCACGGCACAGAGCTATTTTTGAACCTTAAAGGGACATCCGACGCGTTACCACGGAATCATAACTTAAATCTATAGAATTTTTTTTTAAAAGAGAACGTTTCCGAGAGGTTATATTTGAAATATTTATTCAAGCACGATGTTCCTGTTGAAGCTTAGGATTCCCAATGACCGATGTAAAGCGTTTGTAGATATAATATTTAAAGACTGAGCGTTAGGACCTGTAGCCAGGGAAACTTTTGTACTCCAGGAATGTACGGGAGTGAGTTAACTCATATGAACTGTTCTTATTAAAATATTAAAATCCTAAGACCGACCCCTCCAGTGACTCGCTGACCCTATCGAACATGCTGGGAATGCGCCAAGCGCGGGGTACGTCCTCCCGCCGCTCCGCTGCAGGGCTGAAGCTGGGGGGTGCCGCTCCTCTTCCTCAGGCCCTGCCAGAGCACGGTGACAGCCCGCGCTACGCCTTGCCTTTCCGCGCATCGGGATGGGTTTCTCGGAGCTTACCTCGCACTTCAGAAACACGCCTGAAAAAAACAGGAAGCGCGACACTTCGGGACATTCCCGTTTCCTACAGGTAACACGTGGTACCCCAGGCAATTAAGCGGTGTGACGGTCACTCTAAAACCTTTAGCCTGTGCTTTCCTGTACGAGCGTTCACCCTTAACAGGTCGCCGACCTCACAAGGGCGGCGCCGCGCACGCTGGCTTTTATCGCCACACCCCGCGGCTTTACCGCAGGCTCCAGCATTTTCCAGGAAAAGAACATTTTACCGCTACTTAACATTCATGATTTTCACTTTATTAATGTACAGATTCACACAGAACATTATATTCTTGCTAAGGCCGTTTCACTCAGAATTTTTTAGAGTACAGAGTTGTGTACTGGGGCGGGGGGAATACAGCAGTGGCAGATTGTCATTTTAGAACTGTCACAATTTACCACGGATACACCGGAGGACATGCTGCAGCCTACGTACACAGAACTAACGTTTGTATTTTAATGATATTACTCCAGAGCGCAGCAACAGACCACGCAACCTCACAGGTACGGTCTTCTGCTCCACCAGCTCCCTGCGCGTTTTATCACAACTGCGTATAATACTGACAACTGGGAAAGCGAGCAAACGAAAAAAGAAAGGTGGAAAACGCTCGCCTCGGTTCTGCGTGACGCCAGGAAAAGTAAAACTCGCAGCCTGTGCCTCGGCACCCCTCACCAAGGCTCCAAAGGTGCTGGACAGCAGTCAAGACAAACCCGTCAATACGATGGGTCTAAGGAAACAGGTAAATTAACCAAAAATGGTTCCAACCCCATCCTCCTAACGTGGGTAAGCTCACAGCACTTACATCTTTGGGCCCTCTTGTCCAAAACGAGAGCGAATCTGCAGCTAAGCCAGCTTCAGCGAGGAGATCATCCACCTACCACATTAACCGCGTCCTAAGCCCAGTATTTTCTCTGCCCAGTGGAGGTGACGCAAGCACGCGAAGGACTCCGGTGCCGGAATGCGAAGCCTGGGAAAACGTCCGTCAGTCCTCGTTTCTGGTGAGCTGAGGCGTGCAGCCGTCTCTCGGAGCGTCTCGGGACCGCACGCTAAACGGAATGGGAAGTATTTCTCTGCCAAGTTTGCGGAAAAACACACACGACATGTGGCGGCCTAGGTTTAAGTGAGGGGTTTGATGCAGACAGAGGTTGATGGTGAGCGGTAGCCTTAAAAACCTGTCTGGGGAGTGAAGAAACTGAAGCTGCTTGGAAGAAGGAGCATCAGCCAGCCAGGCTTTTTTAACACACTCACCTTGCCGGTTCTGCACAGCTCATGGGTCTTTTCTATCAAGTTAGACCTTTCTGTGCGTCCTACAGAAATTACGTGACCAGTGAGATCAGCCAGGAAAACAGCAACGAAAAAAAATGTGGCATGTACCAGGAGCCTTTTTTGGTTTTCTTTTTCCTAAGTCAGTGGTAGAGATGAAAGTACCGCTCTAACAGAAGTAAACCCCTTAGACCAATAAGCCAAAATGTCTTCGACTCAAATACCTGTATTAAAACCGAAGCGTGAAAGCCAGCGTTTTGGCTGCCAGAATACGAGCAGAGACGACCGCTTCATCAAGAGAAACAACAGGCAGAGACCACGCTGCGCCCGCCGAAGCCGCCATGATATTCCTGCTCTAGCTGTGGAAGAGGGCCCTGCTTCAACAGCAGCTGTGCCAAAGCAATTAATTATTTTGTCATTCTTGACAAGTGGGTAGTGCAGCTGAAAATCCCTTCACTGCAGAGAAATACTTGCATGTCAAATTGCATAGGGCTCCCAAGTCCTTCTTAATAAATACACGTAAAATAATAGGTACCTTAATAATCTGTAGTCAAACGAAGCATCGCACAAAGAGCCTAGGTCACAGCCATTTTAAAACATGCTTCTAAAACCACCGCAGGCATTTTCAAACGCGTCTACCCCTTTCCCAAAGCAAGCTCCGTTCAGCCGTCACCCGGACAACTAAAACAAGGTTTCTGCCTAACGTCAATGTCTCGGCCAACACCTCTGCACGTCACAACAGCAAAGAGGTCAGAAACGAACGGGCGCTGCCCGGCGCACACAAGCAGTGGAGACAGCAGCGGGAGTTCGTGGAAACGAAAAGTTAGAAAAATAGATTATTACTTGGGTCAGGTCATCTTGGGGTAGGAGGGATGGGGTGCATCACGAAATAAAAGTGGAAAAATAGATCCAAGAAAATATAGAAGACCCTTACCTATTTTATATTTAGCTCTGAAATACAAAATACACCGTGAACTAGGTCTACTTGCGCCGCCTGGCCGGAGGGCTGCCACCAACCTAAGCACTCCTGTCCCCTCGCACGACGAGGTCAGGGTGGGTTCTGTGTTTAGACGTGCACACATGTATCTGTATAGGATGTATACACACACGTGCATACTGTGCCTACGAGTCACAAAGCCTTTCACTAGCACCGTTAAAAAACAGCTCAATCATTTAAAAAAAAACAAAACAAACCCAAACACAAGGTCCAAGTGTTATCTGACAGAGGTCCATTTAGAAACAGAAAACGGCAACAACACAGCAACAGATCAGAAGCAATTATTTGCACTGTACTGGCACGGACAAAGTATTTACATGCTGGAATCGATGGTACAGAGCCTTAAGACAGAACAGCACGGGGGGAAAAAGAAAAAAAAAAAAGTAGTAGTTTTGCAAGTGCAGCCTTTGGGTTCACGGCTAACAAAACCAAGGCAGGGTTTCTGCCAGAAGCGCTTCATTCGCCTCAAAGCTCTGCCAGCGCTACCCGGAGCATCGCTTCTCATCTACCCCTGTTGTCACGACAAAGAGCAGGACACTAAAGAAACACACAAGTCATCGGATTCGTAAGCAACAAAATGAAGCCGGGCGTCGTATCCCGTGGTGGTCCTTGGCTGGAACGCAAGAACAGGTTACGTGGGCTGCGTGCCACAGGTACCACGAGCGAGTCACTTCAGGTCCCCGTCCCCTTCGCCTTGGATGGACTTCTTGATGCGGAGCAGCATGGTTGTCAGCCACTGATCCAGCCGCGATATCGAATCAAATTCTTTAACCTGTTGGGGGAGAAAAAAAAAAAAACCAGTTTAAACCAAGATATTAGGGAGCAAATGAGACTGCTGCAGAAGCAGCACTCTGGAGCTCTCCAAGTGTGGTCTTTTAAAATGTCTAGTCTTCCTGGGGGAAAGGAGGGGGGAAAGGGGAAAGGAGAGTAAAGGGGAAAAGAAAAAGGAGAGAGGAGAGGAGGAGAAAGGGGAGAAGGGAGAATGGGGGAAAGGGGGAACAGGGAAGGTGGAAGAGGGGAAGGGGGGAAAGAGGAAGGGGCTAAGGGGGGAAGAGGGGAAGGTGGAAGGGGAAAGGGGAGAAAGGAAAACAAAAGAAAAAGGGGAAGAAAGGGGAAAAGAAAGGGAGAAGAAAAGAAAAGGGGAAGAAAGGGGAAAAGGAAGGGAGAAGAAAAGGGGAAGAAAGGAAGGGGAAGAAAGGAAGGGGAAGAAAGGAAGGGGAAAAGAAAAGGGGAAAAGAAAAGGGGAAAAGAAAAGGGGAAAAGAAAAGGGGAAAAGAAAAGGGGAAAAGAAAAGGGGAAACGAAAAGGGGAAACAAGGGGAAAAGAAAAGGGGAAAAGAAAAGGGGAAAAGAAAAGGGAAAAAGAAAAGGGGAAAAGAAAAGGGGAAAAGAAAAGGGGAAAAGAAAAGGGGAAAAGAAAAGGGGAAAAGAAAAGGGGAAAAGAAAAGGGGAAAAGGAAAAATCTCTCCCAAACCCCACAGCAGACTTCAAACCCCGAAAGGGGCTGGAGGAGAAGCAGGCAGGCTCTTTGCTGCCCTCCCATGATAACCGCGTCCTTCCGAAGCGTTCCGTCTGGGACCCGCCGGAGCCCAGGCTAGAAGCAGCGCTGCCAACGCCCGGCCTCCCTGCGCGCGGTTCGTGGCGGGATAGTTGAGCAGCCACGTGCCCGGTGTTTTGCCCAGTTACCCAATGCTTAACAGCGCACACACCCCAAAAAAAGATTGGGGGGAAAAAAAAAAAAAAGGAACAACCCGCCACCTGCGAGCGCACTGCCGCAAATTCGTGACTACTTACAGCCTCGGTGTATGCCTCGCAGTTTTGCTCCTCGTGGGCTTCCAGCAGTTTCTAGAACACCATTTAAAAAAAAAGAAAAAGAGAAAATATTCTGTCACTGCGTGTCCCTGGGAGAGAGGGGACCTCTGCACAGGCACCCACGTGTCCAGCAGCGGCACCTTCGCACCCTACTCAAACCACCCGCCACAAACACAAAAATAGTTTGGGGTTTTTTTGTTTTAAGTTAGAATAATCATCTTTCTGCTGCAGCTGCGTCCACAAGCCTGGTGTAAACCCAATGCAAAGCGAGTCTGATCTCCTCTAAAACGTTCGAATAAATGAACAAAACTACAGCGAGGTGAAAAAGCACAGAGTAAAGGGCTGTACGCATTTTCCAGCGTGACTAAATACTGCCTTTGCTCACTTCCCAGTTTTCAAGCACGACTATGCTTTTAATACTGGCTGTACTCACTTTCAATAGCTTGCACTCCCGTGAATCTGTGAACGCTGGGAACATTTCTTCGTATTTCTCAAGTGCAAGCTGAAAGAGAGAAGACGACCCTTACACTCGTTTCACACAAAACTACCTGCTTTGTATTTCGGGGCTTTTTTGCCTTCCAGCCCTAAAAACACACAGAGCGCTTGGGAAAGTGTTCACAGTAAATCCAAGAGCAAGCATTCGCAGTAAACCCAGTTAGACACAACGGCACTTCAAGCTTCAGTCTGCACAATGGCCACGCGAATCCCTGGGGACACAGGAAGGCGTCCCAGCCGGCAAAGGTTGATTAAGAGGGAGGCGGAAAGTTTGGGATAATGGCTCCGAGCCCACTGACCTTCGCGTTCAGCTCGTCCACGATGAAGTGGCACAGAGCAGCTTTGAAGAAATACTCTTTCGCGCTGTACTTGAGCAAAGGATTATCCATCGTGTTAGTCCCGACCTAGGCACAAGAAGATATTATTAGAGTTGGGAAAGAAAACTGCATCACTAAGAACGCAATTAAAAACAGGACGGCTGGTTAAAATTACACACAGCACCACCACGCGAATAAAGACCGCGGAAAAAATGCCAGCGTCTGCACAAAAAGCTACCGGGAAGGCAGACAGATTTTAATGACTCCCAAGTGAGGCCAGGACCCCGCAGGCAGCTGCGAGAGCGCAGCCTGTCCTCCCAGGGAGCCACCGTGCCAGTTCGGGGGTGCCACGCTGGCACCTCGGTACCTCCTGCCCGACGCAGAAAGCGAGTCGGCTGGGTGGAAACCTGCTCCGCTATTCACCCTCCAGAAGCACGAAAGCAGCGCGGCAAGTATGCCCAGCTAAATACCCGGTACAAAGGCAGAGCAATCAAGTTTACAAATTTGGGGGGGGGGGGAATTTTCTGCCAAACACGTTTGTAAATACGACCACAAGTGTAATTACAGATTTCCTTCCCCCAGCCTTTCTCTACAAACAACAGAATGCAGGGAAAAAAAATACCTTTGGTAAGTTAAAGCAGCCCTTAAAAGCAAAGGAGCAAACCGTGTCTTGTAAAGGCATAATCAGCCCTGAAATAAGTAAGATTGGGAGCTTCTAGGCCACGGCAATTTTGTGAGCTGACACACTGACCTGCTTTTCATTTTCAAGACATTTTCGGCTCAGGATTTTCTCTAATTCGCACCTCCCAGCCAATCTGCAGCACCATTTAAACAAGAAAACCTTTCACCACCCCCAAC